CACAAAGGTCACAGTGAAGTGATGAGAGAAACCAAGAAGAAAGTCTCACAAAGAGAGAAATTGGGCATACACTTATGGAGGCCGAGAGAGAGACGGGAATATAAGCCAAGTAAAGGTCCAAAATAGGTAAGTTAGGTTAGGGTTAAGTTGTGGACCAAACAAGGCCCGACTCAATATTAATGGACTTCAAATTAATAATATAGCCTTCCAAAGAAATAGGGCGAACCGTGAGCAACACTATTTACAGTAGGTTGATTTGAACGGTCCATACGAATGTGGATTGTGTTGTCTCAATAATTGTGTCGATGTACTAGTCAATCATATGGCCAAGGCCGATTGATAATAAAACCGAAGTTACATCATAGCCCGGGGAGGTCGTTTGACAACAAATTGCCTAACAAAAAGTCATGGTTGATACACGATCAAGATATCATATATAACACCGCGCTCTTATTTCTTGTGATTATCATGTCTATCTAGATTAATTTCAATAATACTACATTTACTGCGTAATTTTAATATAACTATTTTCATCTTGACTAGCTATACAATGGAATGTGGTTGGGACTCTCAGACTATCAACATGCTTATTAATTTAAGTTTAATGTATTTATGGTTTTAGCAACTACATTATACAATATATGTACTCTATTATGTGAAATCTTCTTTTCAAACTAGCGTATTGCCCGTGCAATGCACGGGTTGTATTTTTTTACACGTAATGTTAGCATGTTGAATATGAAAGTTTGAGCGGACATATGTGTGTTTATTGATTGAATAGTTGTTTGTAGACGTGTTAGTTTCATGCATTTTAGACAACGAATGAAATTAATTTTGATGAGGAAATAAAGATATGAAAAAGTGATCTTGTAAAAAAGAAACTGGGATTTATGCGTTTGAGAGTCAGCTGCAAGATGAGAGCTCGAAAGTAGTTAAATATTTCAAAGTTTTATTACAAGTATTATGTTTATATTTGAAAATTTAAATATGAAAAGGAATTGTGAATACACAGTTTAACAAAAAAAAAAACTTTTTTGTGATTTGTCTAACTTCATCAATGTAAACTATAGTTTGTTGTGCAGCTGCAGTATTATAATCAACAACCTAAAATGAAATAAAAGCCAAAATCATTAATTGGAATATATATGTAAAATATAGAATCATACTGCAACATTGGACGTTATCATGAAAACAGAAGTTGAAAATTTTCTCTCATGAAATATTTAGACTAAACAAAATTATCCTACACATGGAGAATATATCAACTTTTTATTTCATTATTTCAATGAGTAGGACATTTATTTGGCAGTCATGCACCAGGAAATTGTAGCAAAAATATGAAAAATTCAATTACAAATTTCACATATAATCATTGAAAGGCAATATTTAGACCAAAAATTACTGATCCCTACAAATTTAAGAACCCACCTTTTCCTTTATTCTGTAGGACAATGAGAAAGCAAAATATAAAAATCATAGAGTTATAAAGTTGTTTAGTAAAACCAACAAACAATGAGAGAAAACAAGAAGCGCGGACTAGATAATTAGCAAGCAGAAAGGAAAATAGTTATCAAAGATCATCCCTGACCCAGAATAAGAATAACCAAACAATAAAGCAGCAAAGATAATTGTGGGGAATAAAAATACAATTCATAGAAACTTAACAGGAAAAAGGGATGTCGATCCAAATTGTTTATGCATTTACTTATCCAGATAATACAAAAATGAAACAACTATGAAATTGACATACTTCAGTTATACCCAAGATTCGAAGCTGAAATCATGAGAAATGGACACCTGAAGGAATGAACTAAGAAATTTAACAAAGCAAACCTGAAGAAACTAATACGGCTAAAATGGAACAACTATGAAATTGACATACCTCAATTCATCGGTTTCCCATTCAGGTTGCAATTTCTTGATCTTTACAACACTTGAATTAAAGCTGCAAATCAAAGAACCAAAATAAACTCCTAATTAACAGTAAAGTCGAGAGAATAGTAAAAAATATACAGATTAAGACCAAAAATGAGGTTGTGATTCGTATTTTACAGATGATTTTAAATTCTTTCAAACTCTTCTACACAGAGGAAATGCATAGGATGAAGTCAGGGTTGACGAAGCAAAAGATATCAATATTAATGGTCCTTCTTTATAAACTTTTCTTTTGTTTAAATAATTAGCTACAGCAAATGGCTTAAGTGGACCGTGAAATAATTAAAGCCGTCACAACGATCTCTTTTTGAGGTAAGGCAAGATTTAAAAATCAAGTATACTGTAAATGAATTTGCTGTCAAATTGTATTCAAAATGATGCTGGCCAATTTCAGATAACAGTAAATGAAGTGGGACTCTCATTGTTTGTTGTCAATTTGTAGTAAAAAAAGGTGCCTGCCTGGCAGATTTTAGATGAACAATAAATGAGGTGGTTTTCATATTGTCAACCGGTTAATTAACAGTTATGAACCAGTCGAAGTGTGAAACCGAGGACACGGGATGAACAGTAAAATGGGCATCTCTCTTTTGAGGTAAAGGTAGATTTGTACATAGATATTGAATTAGAATAGTTTCCTCTTCAACAAGTAAATTTTTCGAATATTTAATCAACATAATGGAAATTTAATAAATCAATGTGACCAATTTAAGTCTTAAATAAGTTAATAGGGATAAATTAGGGATCCTAAAATTGTGTAAGACTCGTTCCCATAACATACACATACCTGCTTCTTCTCTTTTTGGATCAAACAGTGCTCCTTTTAATGTTAATAACATAATTATGCCTCCTACAAATTCTTTCTTTAATTGTCTGAATAAGAGCCTATTACAACATATGACTCACAAACGTATATACACTGGTTAGTTCTCTCTGAATTGTTTTATTTTAATGATGATAAGGATGAAATTATTCATTTCATGTTAAAAGTTTAAGGTTAATTTTCTCTAAGTTGTTTAGTTATCAATTATAACTATTATCAATCATTTCATGTGTTTGATTGACATGGAAAATATTACCTAGAAAAGAAAATATTTTCCATCTTTTGTGGAAAATAAAAATCACCTCTACCCAAGGAAAATATTTTCCTTAAAAACAAGGAAAATTAGGCATATTTTCAAAAGTTGGAAAATGTTTTCCATGGAAAAAAATAGCAATCAAACACTCAAAGTGAAAATTTGGATGAAAAACTGATATTTTCCATGGAAAATAAATGTAATCAAACACGCCCTAGATTAAGTGAAAGTTTCATTACATTTGTTGTTGGTTAAATATTTAGTGTTTAATGAATTTTTACGCATTATGCTCATTATAATTTTAATACATATTTGTTGTAGTTTCTTGGGTAATAATTATATGTATTAAATTGGACGAAACATATAGTTATTAATGTACCAAATTTTATTATAAAAATAGATGACTGGAAATTGTGTCCTGAATTCTTTATAATAGTAGTCAATATATGTATTGTTATTGGATTAAATATATCAATGACCACCCAACGTAATACTTTGTATCACAATGGTCATCCAATTTGATTTTATTTTATTGTGACCATCCGACTTTATATTTAGTATCAACATGGTCATCCAATTTGATTTTGTTTCACCATGACCACTCCATTTCATAAAACGTTTCATCATGGTCAGCCAATTTCATATAATATTTTATCATGACCGCATAACTTCATTTCACCATTTTCACTAATTTTAAAAGGGGTGAAACCGTACCGTTGTATTATAAAATTTATTAAAATAAAAATAAAAACATATCCCCCCCCCCCCCTAAATTTAGCGAAAATGGTAAAAAGAAGTTGGTTGCCACGATGAAACGTTATATGAAATTAGGTAATCATGGTGAAATAAAATCAAATTGATTGGTCAAAGTGACACTAAGTTTAAGGGTATGTTTGAGCCCCATTATTTCCTAGTAATGCATATAGAATAGTAGAATGATAGAAAATGTGTGATTAAAAATAAGAAAAATTATTTTAAATTTACGTGTAATATTATTTTATTAAAAATGTGATTGAAAAGAAGAGAAGGAAAGATGTATTTTAAAAAGAATGGGGATCAAACAAGAGCTAAAAGTGGATGGCCATGGTAAAACAAAATCAAATTATAGCCATGGTGACACTTAGAGATGGCGAATTGTGATGAGAGAGAGTCAATACTATCAAATAAACTTTACATTTAATTTAATTGTCCAATATTTTATCAAGTGCAAATTATTTTAAATTAATAAGCCATTGATATTTATGATGTTGAAGGAAAATCTAATCGTCTTTCCATTTGAGATTTTAAGCAAAAATGAAATGATAATACTTCTAATTCTAAACATCCACATTTGGGGGTTTTACCTCATGCTTTTGGGCATATATTTCAAGACTTCGGTGACATTCACACTCAAGATCCCCCATCAATAGCACTGGCTTACTCACAGTGGGTCCGGTGACCCACCAACTTAAAATTGATGTTTTTTATTTATTATTTTTTTTTTCTCAAAAATCAAATTTGAAGCCTCAGGAAATTATTTCTTTTTGATGATTTCTTTTATATTTTCTTATGAAATGTATTGATGATTCCATTAAGTGTTCCAAATTCTATCTTGTTTTGACGATTTTATGATAATGTATTATTGTTGTGATTTTTGTCTTTATTTGAGCTGAATTGCAATAAATTATGTAACATTCAGAATTTTGCCATGATTTTTATATTTTTCACTTGAATTGATTGTTTTCATTAATTGTTATGGAAAAATAATTTAAACGTAAATATGCTTTTTCTTTTAATGTTTACAATGTTAATGAAAAGATTATTCGAGATAAAAGTGATGAAAATGATGTTGGAGATAAAAAGAAGACAAACTTGGTTACGTTTAATATAAACGTAAATTTATATTCTTTGTAAGTTTGATTGGACCCCACTAACTCAAAATATCTGCATCCCCCACTGATCAATAGGACTCCCAATTTGCTTCCAATAATCATGCAAGAGAGGATTCCCTCATCAAGGACAACACTACCAGGACTCTGATTTCCATTAATAAAAGAAACAATACAACCCTCAACTGTGGACACAATACAAGGCTGCGATCAACCAAAAGAGCAAATGACTGTGTTGTTAACTTCTTACTGAATTAAAAAGGATTGTAGGTGTCCATGAGACAAAAACAAAATAGCTAGAGATTGTTATGCTGCATTAAAACGGGTTGTAAGACCGGGCTGGGCCAACTTTCCCAATTGAGCTTCTGTGTTGAGGATGCAATATTCTAAACGTCAAGTTTGGAGTTCGATGTAACGGAGACACAGAGATCTAACACGTCTTGCTCGATCTGTGGGTTTGTTGGACTGAGCTAGACCACCTAGGCTTCTTGGGTTGATGCAATATTCTCATCAATCTCGACCTCGTCTCCTCAGTCGTTCAACCAATCGCTTCAAAGTCATCATCTAGGCAGGTTCATCAATGTTAAACCGGATTTATCTAAATTAAGACAGTAAGACACAAATATGTGCGAGGAATTGATTTACCATTTTTGAGGAGACAAGTTGAATAGCTCGAGAGGCCCCTTGCTGGATGCATTGGCAGTTTGATCAATATTTTCCCTGATGTATCTAAATTGAGAAACTAACATACAAATATGTGCGAGGAATTGATTTACCTTTGATAACCAGTAACCTTGATAACCTTGAGCAGCCAGACACTGGATGCATTGGCAGTTTAATCAATATTTTCCCTGATGTATCTAAATTAAGAAGCTAACATACAGATATGTACGGGGAATTGATTTACCTCTGATGACAAGGAATCTCGAAAAGCTTGAGCTGAACTCTGGATGCATTAGCAGTTTAATAAATATTTTCCCTGATGTATCTAAATTAAAAAACTAACATTCAAATATGTCTGAGGAATTGATTTACCTCTGATGACAAGGAATCTCGAAAAGCTTGAGCCGAACTCTGGATGCATTGGCAGTTTAATCAGTATTTTCCCTGATGTATCTAAATTAAGAAACTAACATACAAACATGTGTTAGGAATTGATTTACCTCTGATAACAAGGAATCTTGTAAAGCTTGAACTGGACTCTGGATGCATTGGCAGTTTAATCAATATTTCCCCTGATGTATCTAACTTAAGAAACTAACATACAAATATAAAGTGAGCAATTAATTTACCCTTAACATATCGAGTTTCCTTTTTGGTCGATGAATTACACCTGAGTCATCTTGCCACAACTGCAGGCAGGTTCATCAATGTCAGCCCTGATGCATCTAAAGGTTTAAGTAACATGAAAAAATATAAGATGAGGGACTGAATTACCCCAAATTTTAAAGGAGTAATCCTTGCTTTTGTTGGACGGAAGATAAATTGAAGGCCTTCATTTCCCTGGTTCTGTTGGTCATTAAGTATATCCTTTGCAGATTTCATGACAGAAAAACTGGAGTAATCTATCTCAATTATTTCAAGTGTATCTATTTCTCCAATGCAAGGTGGGATCTCTACCAGTTTAGAGCACTTCCACAAGATTAGGTGCTCAAGGCTTGGAAAATGGGTTTTATCAGCTCTCCAGTGCTCCAAATCTGTCTCCCAAATGTGCAAGAATTTTAGTTTAGGAAATTCCCCGTCAATTGGTACCCACACCGGGCCTATGAAGGCAAACTCGTGCAATTTCAACGCTTCAAGATTTGGCAACGAACCAAAAATCGTCATATCTTCCCAACCAATTCTACCACGCTCCAAAGTTATCTTTTTGAGCCTTGGAGCAGAAGTGATGCTCCGCAGGAAAGTTGAATTTGTGGGCGAGTCAAAGACAATCTTTAGTGTTTCAAGTTTTTGGAGGTGGACATCATAAACATGCCATAGAATGGTGTTATAATGAATTCCCATCTTCTTTACATTCGGCATTTTTTCGAGGACATGTTTTGTCATTCCTAAATCTTGTACCATCAAAAGTGTCTCTAGGTTTTCTAGAACGAAATGTTTATCACTATCAGGGAATGGGATAGAGAAAACAGGAGGCAGGGAAGCTAGAGAAATTTTGATATGCCTTAATTGTGGCATATTAAAAATTTCATCCGGTAGTTCAATAGCAATTCCACATGGGTCTTCAACAATTAAAGTCTATAGATTCCTAAGCAACGTAATAGCAGGAGGGATTTTACAGAGACAAGTGATAGCAATGTACCTTAAGTTAACTAGTTGAAGTATTTCATCTGGGAATTTTGTAAGCTCCAGTCCTACCATATCCAATACCCTCAGCAAAAGACAACCAAAATAATAATAAGAATGCAATTGAGTTTCATCCCAACCAGTATATATGAAAGAACGTACACGAGACATTGATTGCACATTCACATCCTCTTCACTTGGACTATAAGAGGCATCGTCATGAATACTCAGACGGCGCATGAAAGTTGCCTCTTCCGGAACAAAGTGCGGATACTTGCTCTTGACACAAAAAAAATTCTCCTTATGAGCTATCCTCATGCATAGCTCTCTCAAAAGATTATGTATACCGCAGGATTTAATTTTCCCATCAGACCCCTTTCGACGAACCAAAATAAGGTTTCTACTTATGAGTTCCATAAGGCATTCCTCTGCAACCTTGTCCAAGTTTTTAGGTTTTTTGGGTTTTAGAAATCCCTCAGCAACCCATAATTTGATAAGTCTAGAGACGGGAATCTCGTAGTTTTCTGGAAAAACTCCCATATAAAGAAAACAAGCTTTCAAATGAGTAGGCAAGTGCTTGAAACTTAAATTTAATATCTCTGAGCACTGGCCATCTTTTTCTGCTATTAATGAACTTAAATTTTTAGCAACATGCTCCCACTCATCTCGTGCCTTACCAACGTTCGAGAGAAGTCCAGTAATCAAGACAATTGATAATGGAAGTCCATGACAATTTTTTGCAATTGTCCTTCCAATATCTTCCAATTCATGAGGGCATTTTTCTTGTCCAAACAACTTTTCACGAAATAAATTCCAACTTTGTTCCTCATTTAGAAAACACATCTGGTGATGATTTGTAGATAAGCTGGCATGACCCGCCACATCTGTTATCCTGGTTGTCACTATGATTCGGCTTCCATTGTTGTCATTTGGAAATAAAAATTTCATGCTATCCCAAGCAGTAATACTCCAAATATCATCAATTACAATTAGATATCTTCTACCCTTTAGATTTTTGTAAAGGCGATCTGCTAATTTCTCATCACTCTCTTTGCGTATCTCAGCAGTAAGAAGAACCAAGTGATCTAGAAGGCTTAGAAAAAGTTCCCTCCTATGATACCGTGGAGATAGTGTTACCCAAGCACGAATATGAAAGTGATACGCAACATATGAATCATCATAAACATTCCTAGCTAGAGTAGTTTTGCCAATGCCTCCCATCCCAACAATGGGAATGATTTGGAGTCCAGATGATCCATTACAGAGTCGATCCCTTACCTGCTTCAAATCTTCCTCAAATCCAACTGTATTACTCTGGCCACTAGGTTCAGGTCTTGATGGCAAAAAATGCCCTGACTGCCCGATCGCCTCCGTAATCTTCGACGAATCTTCCACGAGTGTGTCAATTTCTGTTATTTTTTTCTGCAAGTCCGCAACCTTCACCACCTCTTCCATGATGGAATCAAATTCTTTTATTATCTTCTGGAAGTCTGTATGAGGGTCGCTGTCAGATATTGGGAGCACAGGAAGTGGGTGCTGTGAAGAACTCTCCTGTCCGTAACTTCCAGATTGTGAAAGAACAGTATTGCATATGTGGGATTCAATTACATCTTCAGCACAATAAGCCGCATCTCTGATTTTTATTTCCACTGATAGAACATGTTCGCTGCTATTTTGGGAATATTCTTCAAGAAAATCTAGTAAAGAGTTAAGCTTTTTTAAAAAGACAATCAATTTCTTGTTGCTTAAAAGGATTCAAATGTAGATTTGGATGTTGGAGGGTCTGCTCAAGAGTGTGAATAAGAGAAACAACAGCAGCATGAGCCATCTCCAACCTCTCAGAATCTCACAAGGCCAAAAAGTCGCTCAAGTCAAGAAACGGAAAGTGAACGCATCAAGGAAACATTGTTCTTCTAAATGGGGTCTTTCCACGTGTATAAGCATTCAAGGGCTGATACAAAACAAACATAAAAATTTCTGGAAAAAAGTGAACTCTCTGGAAAAACACCATTTTTTTCAAAATAATGGCCACCAGAGGTGGGCTTACTTTTGCATCCCTCGATGTGTTGACCAGATATAAAAGCAAACCCACTTAATTTCATTTTCCTGGAATAAATTGCTACTTGCACAAGGAAAAATCAAAGAATGTCAAAAAAAAAAAAAAAAATTTTAAAACAAAATGGTGATGCGTAAATGTTAGCCCAAGAAATCAAAGGGACCATAAGAATGTCGATTATGTCATTTGTACAATCTTTTTTTATACCTTTATTCACATTTACATTGTTGTCAACAAATGATTAAATAAAGGAAACTATTTTTTTTTTTTTAAATTATCCAATTGGATAATGCCAAGTGATAAAGTGTTAATCATGATGTACGTCAACCATGACTATAAGAATATACAAACAGCATTCAATCCATAAGTAAAAGTACAAAAAATTTAAAGAAAACTGATTTTTTTGGCCAGGGTTCCAAATACAACACCTAATTCCCTATGGAGTCTGATAAGTGTATTTTATACACTTGTTCGGGGTTTTAAAATAGTAATATTTGATAATTCTTTTGGCAAATTATATCCTCAATTGTCGTATTTTATGTTTTATAGGTAAACTTTATAAATGAAAAGGAATTGAAGGAAAGAAGCAAACAATGACGAAAAATGGTAAAATTCGAAGTATGGGAATTAAATTGAATTGGATGCAAGTTTGGAGATCAAAGTTTACACTATAGAAATTGAAGAACTCAATGACTAAATTGCATTATTTTGAAAAAATAAGGTCTAGGTAAAATATTATTTTACTTGGGCAAAGGAATTGCAATTAGAGTAGATTTCAAAGAAAAGAACTTGGACTTTTTTTGGTGGGCTAGGTTAATATGTATATATATACTTTTTTTTTTTTTATATCCAGGTATCTCAACTTACACCAGACTAAATCCTGGACCTCTTAAACCCATGCCCCTAGAACTTTGGAGGGGGTAAATCGCAAGTTATGCCTCAATTGGATCACAGGTTCCCCCCATTGACTGTACGCTTCTGCGCACAAGAGACCCTCCTCCACAGTGATTGCTCCATACCAAATATTTGACCGCAAGTTTCCACCAGGAATCGAACTCTCCACCCTGCCGCTGGAAGCAAGTCAATGTTGATTGATCCACCAGTTGAGTTGAGCCCCGGGGGGCATATATATATACTTACTGATGCGGGAGGAGAGGAGATATACATATACATATACACATTAGACGGTAGAAAGGGGAGTTTGGCTGGGGTAAAAAGGGAGGCTGTTGGTTGTTGAAATATATATATTATATACAAAAAGAGACGGGCCGCTGGGAGTCGAAAAAACAGGAAGAAAAGTTAGCCGACTGAATTTGAATTATGGGAATTAACAGTAACAGAAAATTGGGTAGCTGCTTGGGGCTGAATTGATAGGGATAGAAAAAGAAGAGAAAGAGCTGCTTGCTGGAAATAGAACGAGCTGCCTGATGGAATTATATGAAAACAGGAAACAGCGGCTGTTGTTGTGCATGAGAATCCCTGTTGGAGTAAAAATTGTGCTGAAAAGATTATATACATACATGCACAAGCAAGTTGGCAATCGAAAATTGTAAAAAAGAAAAAGACGCACACACAGAGAAAGCAGACACTAGACGGTGTACACATAGGAAAATTTATTATGTTTCATCAATTTTTGGTGATGTTTTTTATCTTTTATTTGTTTAATTCCAACATTATGTTAGACTAATTTTTCATATTTGTTAGGATGTGATGAATCCTTGTTATGAATTTTTAATTTGAATAGTTTAATTGCGTTAATTTGTTTAATTGTTTAGATGTTTATTCGTTTTCATGCTTTTCAATTAATTGGCCACTAGTTGAATTGTTTGTAAATTTTGTTGTTATCGAGAGAGACAATATGATCGTTAGCACAAAATAATAAATATTGTGAGGTTTGATAAAGGATAGAGGCATATCTCTATACTTCATGTGATTTTTATAAGATGTTTAACTCATTTAATACATTTATTATGTTCCCATCTCTCATCGAGGGATAGAAAGGTCGCATGAGGAGAATAGATTTGATAACTATTGAGAAAGGTTTTCAATTAAAATAGGAATATTAATCAACAAACATGATTTCAAATTGTCAATTTAAATTGTCGAACTAAAAAGGGATTAGCAAGGAGGATTTCACATCTTAGCAATACTTCTTTCGATTTTGATAAACTTTTACTTTATTTTATATTTAATTGATAGATTTATTAGTGTTAGTCACAACTCGACTTTGCTCTTTGATTAAGGAAATTATTAACTTTAACTCAATCAAACACATAGTCCTCATGAGTTTGACACTCTATACACCACTTTATTACTTGTTCACGATCTCGTTCACTTATGGGTAATCAAACGATCAAGGTATATCTTCTCTCTAAAACATTATAATGTTGTTTGTTATGATAGGTTGAGAAAATAGGTCAATTTTTTTGGGCACTGGTTATGAGTGGTTTAAATCTCGTCCAATCTTCGTTTAATGTAATCTTGGCCATAATTCTTAACCAGCCAAATTGACAGATTTTGCCGATTGACAAAATATATTCTAATTTTACCCTCTATAAAATAATTAATTAGAACTTACATATTTTGTTCAAAATTAATTAGTAAATAAAAATACAAAAATTAAAAATTTATATATAACCAGAAAATTTCCTTATAATTAAAAAATTTATATATATATATATATATATATAATCACGAGTTGAAAAGGTAAATTATTTGAGATAAGAAGAGTAAGAGAGGATCCATGCTGAGGTCTCATGAATTATGCAATTCCTTCGCCTTGTACCCATGATAGAGTTTCGGTCATACTACTTGTTTTTATTGTTTGTATCACTTCTATTTTTATTGTCATTGTAATAATTTTCATCGCCATCAAGATCAAGATTATATATATATATATATATATATATATATATATTATAATAATAATAATAATAATAAAGATGCACAAAAAATCACTGCCTTATCCACGTTCATTTATGGACTACGAAGATCGAGGAACCCTAAGTTCCCAATCTAAATCACCAAATAAAACAAGAATGACACAAAAAAATGAAGATGATACGAAAAAGAATTAGAGATTTTTTTGAGTGAATTGTTCGAAGAGAGAGAGAAAAGATTGACTCTTAAAAGTTCACTCCATCACGCACAGAACTTGATGTCAAGTGGATTAGCCAGTAGAAGCATCTTGAACCCCAAATCCAATAGCCAAAAAAAAAATGCCACGTAACTCAATCCCAAAGAGTTGCTTCACTAACAAAAGCGCCATTTTGAAACACTTTTCCCAATTTTAGTAGCGACTTAGTTAATTCCTTATCAACTCGACCTTGCTAGTTGCTACCGATACTTTGATTACCTTCTCAGTAGAAAAGCAACATTCTTATTTACGAAACTGAACTCCTTTAATAACCCACTCAACCAATTTTCTATACCTAAGATTTCAGCTTATAATAGTATCACATTATTGGATTTTTTATATCCAATAAATTCAGGCGATGATGAAAATCAACACTTTGGATGACCCAAGTTATTTTAGCCCATTGGTGGACTTTTGATTTGTTGGACCATTTGATTATTGCTTTGGCCCATTTGAAAGAGTGTTTTGGCCCAATCTTGTGATGTGACCTAAAGTCCATATATACTTGGCATCCCTGCAGCCATTTCTCTTTGAGTTTGAATGTGCATGTGAGTGTTTGCAAGTGAAGGGAGAAATACAAATAGAGGTAGTCGAGTTCTTGACAAAATCCACCGTTGTTTCCTCTTATTTCGTCTCTACCTTAGTAGCTACAAACCAACCACCATTTCATCTCCTCTGGGCTGTAAGAACGAGGCAACCAAGTGTTGATGGTCAAGCTTGCTAAAGTAGTGGTCGATTGTGTTGATTTCTGAGCTCGAAAATAAAATTTTCAAGGGTTTCCCCAACAAATAGTATCAGAGCACATGGTGATGAGAAATACGTGATTTTTGGGTGCTAAAACCGACTGTAAATTGGCCAGAATCGACTGGAAAACTAGGCAAAAAATAGGGAAGAAATTGTCCATATTTTTCTTCAAGGTATTGGAATTATTATTTTTTTATTTTTTTTAGCCAAACAACACATCATTTGGACGAACCAAGACCATAGGCAACTTCAGTAGATGGAGATGCACCGAATGGAGTGGCGCATGGTGGTCAGAGCCGATGTGTGGGACCAGCACTTGAGGCCTAGGCGCATTGCCGGTTTGGGTGCATGAGGGCGCTTTGATCGGATTCCAACAAAGTGGTCTTTAGGCAATTTTCTCTAGACGACAAGACGGACCCTACGATGGTGTCCATTTGCTATTTCAAGTGATACAGTAAAATCTAGACTATTTTACCCCTGGAAGTTCCTGTGTCGGGTGTTAGTTTATGTTGCTACGGTTGTTGGAACTTTAGAGCATATCGTGGCTGCCCTAATGTACTACATTCATATCTTTCCAAGTTTACAGAGCCACAGATATGGTCCGTTCGATATCGTGTTCTTTTCCTTTTTAATCATTTACTTTTCGCATTAGAAATCATTGTGTTGGGTGACATTGAGATTACCGTGTGGTGTAACCATTGTTTGTTGCTAGACCTAGGAATTGTTAATTTTTTGCCTTGAATTTTTTGTGAATTTGTCGCCAATTTTTTCATTATTAAAAATGATTTTTGTCGATATTTTGCTAGTGATTGTTGTTGGTTACATTTTGTGTTTTGTGCATTTTTTGTTAAAATAAAAACACGTTTTGAGTCGTGTTTTCCTAATTGAAAAATGTGATTTTCCAACTTGGCAAAATGAAAAGTCTTTAATAAGACTTTTGATGGAAAATGTAGGTTTAAAGCAAATGCTAAAAATAGGAGATTTTTAGCTGTGGTATTTTTTGAACATATTGAAGGAGACTGTCCTAGAAGAATAAAATGAAAGATAAGAAAAGAGGTGAGGCAAATGTTACCACTGGGTCGAGTGATGACTCAAGTGAGGTTTATTGAGAGTAAACCTGGTTATTGCATGTACATGTATGTGTAATCCTTTGTACATATGTATGA